CCCCCCCCGATGGCTTTTTCGAGGCAGCTCTTCCCGAAGAAGACAACGCATCTCTAAAGTATTCGGCGCAGCGGTGAAAAACGTGAAAGGGGCGACGTCAAATCATACACCCAAAATGGGGGTGTACACGACAACAACTGCAACAACCGCAGCAGACTTACCTGTAGATGAACCCAATCCCTCTCCACGTGGGTCTTTTCGAGCGCGATTCTCTCCTGCTCTGTGTTCATCCGGCGATTTTCCTCCTCGAAAAGGGCCGCTCGTTCGGAGACTAGCTTGCCTAGCTTTGCATCCTGGACATTTGATTGGTGGAGATGGCGGAAAAACCAACAACATTTTTATCGAGTACCAGCAGTAGCAAAAACTATCCAACAGTCGCGAAAGAAGACGCGAACAAAAAGGGAATGGGGATTGAAACGGACAGGGAAAAAAACAAGCAAAAGAAAAGGGCAAAACAACAACAGAAGAAAGGCTCAGAACAGAATAGAATAACGGAGAAGGAAACAAATACACCCCTGGGTCGCATGAATGCACCAGCCGACGGTTGTTGTTGTTGTTGTTTTCACATTTAACCGTATGTCAGTTGCTAAATGCCAAAATCTAGCAAAGACTCTCAGCCCGTGGTCACGAAAGTGCTAGAGCCATCTGAGGATCTAAAGAACACGCACACATATAACGCGGAAAAGGTATCCAAGAGCCCGAAGAGGTACACGTAAAAATCCCTGCAGCACCGTATGCGTGCCCAAAAACTGAACTGCACGTCCGTCCCACCGTTCGACTATACAGTAGCATCACCCCCTCCCTGTTCCACTCGATACCAAAACGGAAGATTGCCGACTACAGCATACTGCTGTCTGAAGTGCTGTCTGTACAAAAACACCATGGTAGGCATGGAACAAGCAGCTGGCGGGGCACAAAGCTGCTGTCTGAAGTGCTGTCAGAATTTGTCTGCGGTCGTACAGTGAAAGAGAACAACCAACCAAAGCCATCATAGCAGCAATTGACAATCACCCGAATCTCTCCCGATCGTCTGTGTTAGGCACGCAGTGAAAATATCGACAATAGCTAAGAATCGTTCCACATTGAAGGGGTCTTCCACGATCAGGCACATAACCAAGGCACCCGGGTTAGCCACGCCATCTCTGACGGGTCTCTCTACAAAACCAGTGACGACGTCATCACATAGAACCAACACCGACACACGGAAAGTCAGAAAAAAATAAAAAAATGACAACACAGATAGAAATGTTTGTCCGTGCGCCACGGGTCGATGTCGCCCGCATGCTCCGGTGCCATTGCTCCATCCGGCGCCGCTGTAGTCAGCCCGAGCAAAACGCCACTCGACCTGCTCCGTCCGTACACGCTCTCGTTGCTGTCCTTCCCAGTCCGTTCCTCGCTTTCTCCCACATTGCACTCAAGGTTCTTGGTCTGAAAAAAATAAAAATTCTCGCGCCGAATGGTCAACCAGCCCAGTTCAGCTCGTCGCCACCTGCTCCCTCCTCCTTTGATGGCGAAGCCAGGTTACTGAGGCAATACAGCTCCCTCTAGCAAACCTAGGGCCGTGTAGTGCCCGTCCACCTTTCTGATGGTGTCTGCCTCCGCGCACAAAAATGAGATGGGCATCACTGCCTACGCCGACGGCCAGAAAGGCCCGCGCATCTACATTTTCCCGCCTGACCCCATCAGTGCCGACCCAACTCCACCACCACACGCACGCCTCGCGGCGGATGCGCAGCAGCAAGAAGGTTTCGGTCATCCCTTGAGGGTGAGTTTAGCCCTGCTCGCCAGAAAGACCCCCCCTTCACTACAACCCATGTCTAAGCAAAAGCTTGTCGAGGAGCGAGGGGAAGAAGGGAGAACGACGGTACCACTCTTGAAACTACTGTAATACTACGGTACATACTACGGTAATACTACGGTAATACTACGGTAATACTACGACAACTTGCGGTACTATCCCGACTCGCACAGAAAAATCAACCAACTAGCCAACAAGGCAACCACCTCAAGCGCTCTCCTCCTCGAAAGCATCCCAAACACAAACAGGACAGCAGATTACTTCTGCATCTATGTTTCAATTGTTGCTGCTGCTGTTGTCGCTGCTGTTGGCATCCTTCATCGAAGCATGCACTGTGTGTCCCGGCAAATAACTAACCTCACGTCTTGATTGGAAAGATGAGACGATTTCAGAACGTGGCTGAGGTCTGACTCAAAGCAACGTCTTTTACGAGAGAAGGGTTGCAATCGTTCCTGTACCTGTTTGCCCTGGAAGACTTTCAACCCGCGAGTGGTCTCCTCCACAGCAGCGAGAAGCTCCTGCCTGGCCTCCGCGGATGACCGATCCAACGAACCTCCGTCCTCCTCGAGCTCCCTGTCGAGAGGCAAGACCAACAGAGGGGGGGGGGGGGGGGGGNAGAGATGGAAGGAGGGAGGGAGAGATTTAGAGAAAAGAAGAACACAAGCAGCCGCCGTGAGGGCAACCGCAGGTTTCGCAAACACCTGCAAAACAGGAAAGCGGAGACTTGTTCACCACTACAGAAAAAAAGGCAGGGGCGAAAACACACCACGAGTCGCGACAAGAGCAACAGCAGAGTTGGCGTGCACCTCGAAACAGCAATGGCGGAGACTTGTTCGCCACTAAAAAAGGAATCGCAACGGGGATGGCCAGATGGCCGACACTGTGGGAAGCCATAGGATACTACCCCTCGGCAGCCAAAACAACACCAATGCTCTACTTGTACGATTGTACCAAAACACCTTCCTCAATTACGGGGCACTACAGCGAAAACGCATCAAACCCTCATAAAAACCGACCCCAAGTGAAGAGGAAATATTTATCGCCACTCGCATGACAACGAAGTGAAAAATCACTCTCGACCCAGCGACGGATTTTCGTGCTCCTCGCGAAAATTCAACCACCAGCAGCAGCACAAACATCCGTGTAGTCTATATATCAGAAACAGGGGAGTTGTAAGGGCTAAGGCTTTCCGCATGCTTTCTTCGGTGTCGTCGCGGGAACGAATGACTCGCCTGAGACGGCGTGCCGCCGAAGCCGACTCTTCCCTGAGGTTCTCGATCTCCAGCGACAGTTCCGCCGCCTTTTCGTAGTCCTCTTCGTCGGCCAATCGCTGCTGCTCGAACTCCGCCTCCGCCAGCCGCCTGCGTGGGAGCAACCGCGCGCGCCCCCCCCCCCCCC